TGCCGGGCAAATGCTCTACCACTGAGCTGCATCCAAGAACTTCCTTTTCATTTTATTTTGAGACAGAGTCTTCCTAAATTGCCCAGGTTGGTCTCCAATCCTGAGATCTTCCTGCCTCAGCCTCCCAAGTAGCTGGAATTATAGGCATGTGCCACTGTGCCTGGCTAGTCATGTATTTCCTTAAATATAATTTTAAAATGATGGGGAAAATTAAAAAGTAATCCAACATTTCAATAATGAAATATTACATTAGCAAATATTAATAATGTTGGGAAACACATTATTGCACAGATCTGCAGAAACAGGTGTTTTCACCATGTAGTTGGTTGGGATATACATTATTAAAGTGATTTTAAATTTTAACTAGATAGTAAATATTGAAAATGTTAAATGATGATTTTTTTTGCCAAAGCAGTCCACCTGTGGGTACTTATACTCCAGATACAGCCCTAGGATGCCATTCATGTGTCTTAATTGCTCAGGTTGAGCTCACCATTTCCTAAGCTTTTATATGGTGTTTGCTAAAGCAAGAAAATTTTTCTTTTCTTTGTCAAAGTGAAAAGTCCCCCATTAGAAATTTGTTGGCAGTTTCTGATTTGAAAACACTCTAGCTAAATGTTAGTTGGGAGTTTATAATTGGTTAAGTCTTTTATTTTTACTATGCTATGATGGTACTTTCACTATGAGTTGGGTTTCAGTTTATTTACATAGGAATTGAGGGTATTAGAGCCATCTCAGTCTAATGGCCTCCCAAATAGTTAACAGTAGTAACATTTGCATGCCTGTGGGAAACAACCCTGGACCAAGAAACAATCCACCCAGAAGAATTAAATTCAGAACAGTACACTAGCCAGATTTGAAGGCCTCATAATTCATAGGACAACATTTGAGTACTCATAAGGTTTTTCCTCATTAGCACTATACAATTAACCCTAATCTAAACACAACTCTGATTCTGACTTACAACACTTAAAATCAAGAACCTAAAAATACAACATCCAAAATAAAATAAAAAAATTCTAGATGGGGTTTATGGCAGATTAGACATCACAGAAGAAAAAAATATATACAATCCTGAAGACATAGCAATAGAAACAATTCAAATAAAATAGAAAAAAATATTAAAAAGTAACAGCATTGATTATGATTGTGTGAAAATCATGCTGATAATTATTTTAAATGACTACTGGTTAAGCCCTCTATTTACATGACAGAAATTTTCAGAGTGGGGGGGGGGAAAGAGCAAAACAGACTCAAATATTTGAATGTTTTGGAGAAGTGGGAGCTTATTGCACATACACACAAAGCACAAATACAAACTGAGGGAAAGACTTATTTCACTAAAAATATACAACATACCGTGATCTAAGACAGTACCTACCTAAACTAGTATAACTCTAAGTCAGATAGAAGGTCTTTAGCATGCCTCTGTAGGAGATAAACTAGCCATTGGCACATTAAAATGTCTAGAGAATTCTGTAGTAATGAGGGCCTATGGAAAGTGCAGAATTGAGGAAAGGAGAGAGTGTTCAATAATAGCAGAGGATTGGACTAGGATCGTGACATACAGTTTAGATGTTATTCTGAACAGCTAAAGCAATTCTGAAGGACTTGATTTCTGCATGTGCAGATGAAAAACAAGAAGCAAATAGATCACATGCTCTTTACCTCCTTTGGTTCCCCCAGCAGCTCTAGAAATGATTATTTCCATTTGATCAACAAATACAATTAACACTAAGTAATAAGTAGGTAAACACTAAATTTATATTACCAGCTAAAAGGTACAGATATAATCTGAAATTCATTATTCTTATTTTTGCTTTTCAAACAAGTTTTTATAAAGTTTCACAGGGTCTTTGACTCTGATTGACATGATAGTTAGCTCCTTTAAAAATAAATTTTAAAACCAGTTAAACACTAAATAATACTTCCAGGAAAAATAGGTAAAAACAAAATTAATTGGCACTCATGTGATCTCAGGAAACTATTATTAAATTTCCATAATATCTTCTGTTTCAAAACAACAAAAGCCACTTTAGAATGCATTACTTTACAATAGAAATACAATAAAATTCTTTCCATTTCTGCAGAAATTATTCTTTTTAATGTACATACAGTTGAAAATTTCTTTCTTCATATGAAATTCAGCTAGTTTATTTTTATTAAATCAAAAATGTTTTCCATCAGTTCCAAGGGCAAGAGTAAATTTTTAAACATGCTAATTGTAATTTTTCAAATAATGTCTGGGGGAAATTAAAAATAAAAATTAATTATTAAAAAATTGATTAATTTTGATGATTAACTCATTTGGTGACATTATATTCTTAGAAAGTATCATGACTGATTATATATGAGATAGCAACTATATAAAACGCTGTATTTTCAAAAATTTTTAAATCAGATCAGTATGTTTATTATATGATATATGTGATGTCAGGAAAGGAGGCAGAACACACATGGGATCCTGTCCATTTAATTTATGTACTCTAGTCTTTTTCCTAATTCTGGAATATTTTTCAAGTTTCATAAATAAATATTTCTGTACTATTCTGTTAAGTAAATGCATCTATTTTATGTTCCTAAATTTATCAACGGGGTAGGAACTTGGGGAAATGTGATGGCGTGTACAACTGCATTTTAGCTCCTGATTTTCAACCTTGAAAAAGAGGTAATTGAAAGTTAATCATTGATGAGTGGAGAGAGTTAAAACAGTAAACATTTTAAACTGAACATGTTTTCTTGGAAGGGGGTTTGAAAAGGGAAGAACTTCACAAAAGAGGCTCTGAGCCTGGCTTTATAATGACTAAATAGAGGATGAGTATAAAATAATGTACAATTGATGCCTTTAGATGATTGGGTTATGGTTTTGTTATATTCTTCCTACATGTTAAGCATAATTCAAAGATGTATAATGACCTAGTATTACACAAAGAATTATAAAATTATTATATTTTAAAATGTTATTCACAGAAACTTTACATATGTATAAAAAATAAGCCACCCACAAAGACACAAAAACGTTGTTACATAATTGCAGTTAAATTATAATTGTGAAATTTAATTAATAACTAAATTCATAAATGGGCAAATACATGTATTACTATCTTATTAAATTATCTACAGTATTATATACTGTGCAAGAAACTTGAGGTTCAGGTGACTAAAACCAAATATTGTGAGAGGCCACTAGCCTACATAAAAATGATAATGCATATTTTGCTCAATAATTATAATTATTATACATTTATTATTAATAATTCATAATAATGCACAAATTTAATAGGCTATTTAGAAAAATTAAAAATGTAGATATGCATTGATTACTTAATGTAGTCCAACTTTATATTTTGGAAATGTATATTCATTGTGGAATCAAGTTAGTTAATTCAGATCATAACATTTGTAAAATGGAGTACTTCCTACAAGTAGTTCTGTGTCTATGTTGTCAACCCTCAGATGCATGAATCCTTGAGGAATTGCCAAAACAATAATTCCTAATTTAGAGAGTGGCAAAAATGTGTTAGAGGTAGGAAGGGCACCCAAGTGTCAGAATTTTTTAATTTTCCTAGGTAATTATGATGCCAGAAAAAGGTGTATGAAAGTAAAGAATAAGAACTTTTTGAAAGTTTGGATTTGGGGTTAGAAAACTCCTTTGCTGGGTTCCTTTGGAAATTAAATGTAATTCTTCCCAGATATGTATTATTACTTGCCTTTGGCCACTTAAGGAATCAATTAAGAACAGTATTCAGTGGGGTTTCTAATTCCATTATAGTTCATTAATCAAAATAATGAATAATTTAATAATCTGCTGTCAGGCACTGTATTTAGAACTGAACTCCAGGATATATAAGACAAAAATCAGTTTGGAGATGGGCATAAATTTATATTTAAAATCATAATGCTAAATATTTAAAATAAATTTTTTTTTAAAATATCTTAAAGACCTCTTAAAGGTCTTTAAGAGCTTGCAAGCAGTTTTATGTTTCAAGTGGATGGGATGGAGGGAGGGAGTGCTTCATCTTTAAGGAAAATGTGTTCCCCCAATGTTATTTACATGTCTGTATGGGCAGGCCTGCCATGAATCGTCTTTGAGAAAATCCACAGCAAGGATAGAAACACAGGCAAAAATAAAGGATTCAGGAGGTTTACAGTAATCGAATTGTGGGCACAATTTAGTAAGACACCTAAATGTATCTCCTGAGTTAGGCCTCAGTGCATTTATGACTGAGTTCTTTGAAGATGAGGGGCATAAAAAGAATCAAATGCTTGTTTTGTTAAAAACCACTGTAAGCCCAAGAACCAGGGGAACTGTACTCACCTGATTAAATATTAAAGTCTAAAGCTATGAAGGCATCCATAGAGGTTAATGAGGAAATTTGGTTCACAAGAGCCTCCAGATAAAATGGTGGGCTTACCTTGAGGAATACAGTTATGTCATCAATAAAAACCAAAACAGGACTCAAGAAGGAAATGTATACCAATTACCCTGCAGTAATCAGAGGAGTAGGGCTGCCAATAACAGAGGAATGACATGGGGGAACCCACTAATTTTTGCTGTATGGACTTGTGTGCATGGGTGAAAACACTCTAATTCTCTTCAAGTACCTGATGTGTCCAGTTAAATATTAGGGAATCAGACAGGAGCCCACCAAACACACAGTTCCATACTTCACCTATTCCACTTGGCAGTCTTCAAGACAAACATTGTTCCCTGTTTCACAGAAGAGAAAGTAAACTCTTTAACTGAATGTGTCTAATAAAGGGCAGCTTTATTCTTTGAGTTTATTGATTATTATGTACCTGCACTGCATTCATAAACTCATTGATAAAATATTTTATTTGCCTTTCAAACTGCAGGTAATAAAGAGAAAAAAGAAAGTCATGTATCATCTTAGCCACATACCACACAGAAATGTGCCCAAATTAAGAATTTGATGTATTTTTAGTTAATATATTTATATGTGTGTGCATATATTTTAATGAGACAATAAATGTTTAGATTGCTTTTTAACTGCTTTATTAACTTTACATTTTTCCATGCAAATGGGTAAAACTCTACTGCTGACAGAAACTTAGGCTGGGTGCAAAGGCAATCTTCAGTCAGAAGCTGGCAACACAAGACCCACTTGAGACAAGGAAATAACATAAGGTTCACAGCAAACAGTTCAGTAAAGGCATATCACGAAAATGCAAGGAAAAGGAAAACAGTGGGAATCACAGTATTAATCTCATGGAAAATGGCAGAAGTCAAGGCATAAGGCAAAATTCATCATGATGGTCATGGTGATTAGAGAGCTCCCCCATAAGAATACGCAGACAATTTCTCAATTGCAGCTCCCTAAGTTTTCTCCTGATTTCTCTCATCTCCTCCATGAACATTTCCATATCATCTCCATCTCCACCCATCCCATCATTGATCTGCCTATTGGGTATGGCCCATCGAAAATTAGGGGCAAGTCGGCGGGCCTGTGCCCGTCTATTATTTCCTGCAGGCTGGTGGCCTTCACCTCCTCCCAAAGGACGGTCTTCCTCTCCATTCTGCACGGGCTGCTCCATTTCTTCGTTTTCCTGGTGGATATTTGCCATGATGAGATTTTTTTCTGGTTGTTTTTCTTTGAACACAAGTAAGACAAGGGCAAGGAGACAGACTGAATGCTTGGTGCATTGACAAGCAGGATTGTGAGTCAGATATGAGGGTTTTAAAATTTCATTTTTTCCCACCTTAGAAACTCCACGCGTCCTCTAGGGGGCCTCCAATTTGAGCCCCTCCCTCCAGCTCTCTTCTCTTCCCTCCTCCCACAAAGCCCACCATTTTTCCTTTCCCAGGATTCTTTCCCAGATCTCAGCAGGCACCAAAATGGAGGACACAGATGAGGTGGAAGGCGGGGGTGGGGAGGAGGGCCCATTTAGGGTTGGGGGTCTCAGTTTGGATTTTTGCACCGCCCCCCAAGCACTGCCCCTTGCACCGACCTGGGCCTATCCTTGCCTTCTTCCACCGCCAGGTGCGCAGCCGCCACACTGGGCCCCACAGACCTGCAGAAATCGGAGGTTAGGGGGAGCTGAGACAGCTGCAGCAGAGCACTGGGCGCCGCCCCCGGCCCCTTCCCTGCGGCGCCCCGGTACCCTCATAGCCCTCACCCCGCCCCGCTCCCCTAGCCGCCCCGCCCCCCGCGGCGTTCACCATTTTCCCTCGCAGGACTCCAGAGTGCTTTCCCTCTGCTCTTACTTGCTCTGCTGCCCCTCCCCCGAGCCTCAGCCGCCCTGCACCCGGACGCCAGGGCGCCACTATTTATGTGCTCTAGAATGCTGGGGTGTGGAGAAAGCGGGGGGCTCCGCCGCGCTGTCCTCCTGCACCCGCGCTGGGCCTACAAGCTGCTGCTGGCTTGGCCGCTACGCGCGGGCCCCAGGGCCCTTACCTGCTCCGCTTTCCCCGGGCCCGTTGCCAGCCCGCCGTGCGCAGGGCAGCGGGGAGCTGGTAGCCAGACGCGAGTGACGACTGCACCCTGGGCTGCGTCGCTCTGCAGCTCCGGGTCACGTGAGGGCCGCGCGTCACCAAGAAACTCGCCCCCCATCTCCAGCGGACAGTGCAGCAGGAGGCCCCCCCGCCCCCTGCCACAAGCATACGCACATACAGCACCCCCCCCCCCACGCCGCCTGTCTGAGCAGTGCCTTGGGTGCACACTGCTTGTCACTCATCTTGGTGCTCTCCAATCTGAGGCCCCACAAGTGGCATCACCGTCTTGCGGTTGGAGTTGGCCCTTTTCTGGTTACTAGGGAGGATCTGTCTCATCCTCCACCGCCCCCTCCCACCTAGGGTCTTGGTTTAGCCTTTTCTGCCTTTTCTCCAGTCTCCTTAGCTACGTGCTTTTCCCTGCTCCCCATCCCCCTGTGCATACACCTTGAGGTCGAATGAGCTACGTGTATTTCTTTCCTTTCAAAAAAAAAAAAAAGCACACCTCAGAAAATTAGGGATTATGAGTTTTCACTTTTGAAAGAAATGCCTCATCCTGCAGAATGAAAAAACTCATTGTTTATGTTGACCAGTACAACACAGAAAATATTTTCTCTAGGCTCTGCATAACATCAACACTACTTTTGAAACACATTGTACTACCCTGTTTCAAAAATTTATTTTTAAAAAGGAGGGACTCTTCCTGAATATGGTTAATGTTTTGAAAATGATCTAAAGTAAATCTTCAGAGAGAATTCCAGTTATTAGATCTTGACCATTTTATGTAATTTTACGTGATGTTTTTGATTCCACAGTCATCATAGAAAAGGAGCCTTTTTATTCCCTGCTTTCCTTCCCAAACCTTCCAAACCACCCCAACAAATATTTTCTTAGAATGAGCTCTGAATTTAAGTATATATACGTGGAAATTAGTCCCAAAGCCATCTACCTTTTGGTGCAAATGTTTCAAAAATATTAGAAATAAGCAGCATATTGGTGAGGCAACTAAATTTGAGATTTAAACTCACTCTGAGTGCAAATGTTTCTGTTTTCAAACTTGAAATTACTTTTTAAAAAGATTGTCACACTGGAAAATAGAGATCTTTAGGAAAGCAGTAATGCTATAAAAGTTATACTAGTTATTGTTTATAATAAAGGAAACAAAGCATTGTGTACATCACTGAGATAAAACAGACCAGATGGTGACTGCCTCTAGTTTTGGCCCCAAACTCCTGAATAATCTCCTACCCTGACAAGCTAGGTGGAACATTGAAGAAAGGAAGTATATAGGCGTGGTGCATAGTTTCAGGTTCTGGATGATTTTAGAGATATATAGACATATTAATATATAGCTCCAAAAGCTCAAGTTACAAAATCACATCCAATAACTGTTTTTAAAAAACATTGGAGATTCCAGGATTATGTCTCACAGTTAACAACTCTTAATTGTTTAAAAAAAAAAAAAAAAACTTTAGACAAATTAAATTTAGCAGAGTTTGAGCCAAGAATGATTCGCAAATCAGGCAGTCCTCAGAACCAGAAAAGGTTCAAAAAACTCTAGTCTTCAACAAGGTCAGGCAGCATTTTATGAGCAAAAAATGGAAATGTACAGAAAACAGATGTGAGGTACAGAGACAGCTTAATTAGTTACAGCTTGATCTTTGCCTTATTTGAACATGGTTTGTACAATTGGTCCTCTGCTGTTGACTGAAGTTGAGATACTGTGATTGGCTGAGACTCAGCTATATGTTTAAAAAAGATTACCCCTAAATTAAGCTTCCATTTAATTGTTTTAATAAGTTAGACTGCAGTTTGTTATGTAAAGGCTCAAGTGGGGAGGCATCCTTAGGCCAAATTTAGGTTAATTTAACATCATATAGATCATTGTATTAATGATTATTGTCTGAAAGGATTCAGATTAGGAACTGGCTATATAGTATCAAACAAGCTTGGATTCAAATGCAGTCTGGGGATTACTTGATGTGTTACTTTGAGTCAAGTACTTACCAAGGTCTCTGTGCTTCCTCTGTGAACTAAGAATTATTAGGAGAATATAAGTACACTAATCAAGAATTTACCACAGAACCTAGTAAATTGTCAATAAGTGTTGACTCATAGCCACATGCCTATAATCTCAGCTATTCAGGGGCCGAGGAAGGAGGATCACGACTTTGAGGCCAGCCTGGGAAACTTTAGCAAGACTTTGTCTCAAAATAAAATAAAAAGGGCTGGGGGTGCTGGGTATGGTGGCACACACCAGTAATCCCAGCAGCTTGGGAGGCTGAGGCAGGAAGATTGTGAGTTCAAAGATAGCCTCAGCAAAAGCGAGGCATTAAACAACTCAATGAGACCCTGTCTCTAAATAAAATGCAAAATAGGGCTGCGGATGTCATTCAGTGGTCAAGTGCCCCTGAATTCAATCCCCCATACTAAAAAAAGGGGTGGGGGCTGGGAGTGTATCTTAGTGGTAGGGTACTTGACTAGCATGTACAAAGTCCTGGGTTCAATCTCTAGTATCATAAAAGTTCAAGTTGATTCATAACTTTTTACTGTTGTTGGGTGGTTTCTAGCAAGATTTGAAGGAGGGTAATGATATGATTCTTTCCCTAGGTAGATCTATTTGTAAAATCTACAAGCACTCAAAACACATCTGTTTTGTTTTACTTTGCATACTTAGTGACTTATAGAGTTTCTTGTATAAAGTAGATATTTAGTGAATATTTGTGGAATGAATGCATCCAGTACTAAGGCTAATTGGTTTCTTTTCATTTTAGGGACTGTATGCAGAGCAAATAGAAAAGCTTTTATGAAAATTAGGAATTACCTAGAAAGAATCCCCTGGAAGAAGAGAAGTCATTATGATATATCCATTTGAAATGACATTTAGTAAATGGATTTTTAGTTTTCTTTGGATGCATGCCTTGCTATTGTCCTTTTGACCCACCTTCAATAAGTCTTTTGTTTGAAGCCATTGACTTTTCTTGGATGAAAACATACATATGCATATTTTTCTCTAGATCAGATTTATAATTTATAGGAGTTTGCTTATAATGAACTAAATGTTTTAAAGATAGGTAAAAATTATCCTAGAAATGCTATTATGTTTACTAAAATGTTATGAGCTCTTTTCCTGGACTTGGAATTTTCTGAGGAGTTGGAGATAGAGATAAAACCTGTTGAGAACAGAACTACAAAATTTTCAAGGTCAAGTTAGATGGAAGTCAGATTCTGAGTTTGGAAATATTTAGTGTATAATAATGGGAAAGAGACTGAGTTCACATTTGGGGAAGAATAGTGAAGAAGAACCTATTCCTTATTCTTGTCTCCTGTCACAGTGCTGCTAACAGTGTCCAATTGGCTTTTTTCCCAAAAGCCAAGGGAGTGGAGACTTAGAAGAAATATCCATAAAGTTTAGGGAAATCTGCAAGATGATGTGGTTCATGTCTCATACATGGATCTACTTTAATAGTGGGATATTTGAGCTTCCTAGATGCTATAGGAGCCTAGAAAGAACACTGTGAAAAAAAATAACTTGATGGTGTGGCCAGACGTGGAAACAGCCAGGATTCTCTCCTTCCAAAATTCTCCATTCTGAAAAAGTATGAAAAATAAACCCTACTATGAATGTGGGCTCCAAAGTTGGAGCTTGGGAAAGGAAAGTTATTGAGAGACTGTTACAGAGTAAGATGAAGAGAATGTCACGTGAGGATCATAATCTAGAAGACATAAGCAAGATGTGGCCCAAGATGCCACTGAACATCAGGAACCAGCTTGCATGTGAGCCCTAATCAGTGAGGTCTATAACTTGAGCTTCATTGATAATTAATTACATGGGGGTATCTTTCCATAGATATTCAGGTAAATGTATGTTTTCTTATTCCCCTCCTCTAAACTCTCAAACCCTCAAACCAGACACAGGGAAGGTGGTGAAATATTGAACAAAAGAACAGCTCTCTCCCACACACACATTCCATACCCAAGGAGATGCAGTTCTAATCTGCCCTGGAGGGATGAGGAGAACCATGAATCAAAAGTGAGATTGGGTCAGGGGTGTGGAGGCCCATGTCTGAAATTCCAGTTACAGGATGCTGAGGTAGGAGGATTGCAAGTTCAAGACTAGCCTCAGCAACTAAGAAGACCCTGTCTCAAAATTTAAAAAAAGGGGTGACTGGGGATTTAGCTTAGTGGTAGAGCACTCCTGGGTTTAATCCCCAGTACCAAGAAAAAAAAAGTGAGATTAGCATTTTAGGATGAATAGAAACAAATAATGAACAATAGTGACTGAAAAGTTGGAGGAAAAGACAGAAATGCAGTTAAAGAAGCCTATATAGAGTGGGAATTGTGCTTGGAGTGGGGGATGATAGATAAAGCACTACTGATACCTCTATTACAAAAACAAAACTGTTTTGTGATTTTAGCTCAACTAGTTAAGATCCCTCAATCAAATTATGGAGATATCAGTTTAGTATTCCAACAGAGGAAGCTCCTTTTTTGCTGAAATCCTTAGAAGTTTTGCTGGGATATAGTTCACATGTATTTGGCTGGAATACACCCAATTGGACTGTGGTTATTGTCCCATTTTCTTCTCATTATACTGTACTGGGTGAATGCTAAGCCTGGGAAAAGGTAGTCCAGGTAGGCTCTGTGGGTATGGGCATCTTTGTTCCTATCTAAAATGTGTCTTCCTGATGCTTTATTGCTACACTCTTATTGTGATATTCTCTTTTTCTCTAATTTAAAGTCCCTATAACAAATTGAAACTGGATATTACAAATGTAAGAAACTATGTGTACTTCAATTTTCCCATAAGCTATTAAGACTTGCAGAGTGAGATATAAATCTGATGAAACTTTAAGAGTATCACTATAAGATTTTGGATCATTTGGAATATAATATATTTGTTTAATTTAAAAGAAGTAAACCAGGTGCAGGTGGCACATGCCTATAATCTCA